GAGGGCCGAAAGGCAGCCAAGTGAGCCGTGAGCTAAGGCCAAAAGCTGATAAGCCGCCGCAACAATAAAATCAAATCACATCTGGCCAGCGCCACGTTAACGGGCTCAAATGGTCAGCAAACGGGTAACGTGTTAACGGGTAGCGGGTAGCGGGTAAAGGGTAGCGGGTAACGGGTAACGGGTTTCGGGGTATCGGGTAACGGTTATCGGACTGGGAACTAATCCGCAAAAAGGGCAAGTGCTCAGCCAAACTCAGCAAACTTCAGCGATTTAAATCGTTTAAGATTAGTTTGCATTTAAAACTAAATAATTAAATTCAACAAACAAAGTAATATTTAACTAAAAAATTCAACTAAAAATTATTTAAGACTACCTTCTGAAATTCCCTCCCTAATATTTCTAGATTTTATCAAATAACATTTACAGCACAAACAAATGTTGATTTCTTTACCAAATTGCCTTGTAATTTGCTTGAAATTTTAAAATAGTGAAGATAAGACATAAAAGAGATTTCAAAGCAAAAAAAACGTGGCGGAAATTCGGGCTCCTCCTACTCCATTAATTTAATGAATACTCATCTCCATTTATTTTTCATATGCCGAAATGCTTTTGGCAGTGGCGCCCCGCCTAATTAACTACAAAATATGAATAAAAATGACTCACTCAAATGGCCGGAGACAAATTGGGCGCTTTATTAAAGACATTAGTTGGAGATAATGCCCTCCAAATTTCCCGGAGAAATGGTTGCTTTCAAAGAATTAGTCAGCAGACTCGCAGGTCGATTCCGCTCGCTGCATTTTGGATCCGGATTTGGATTCCGATTCAGAATCAGGTTCGGGTTCAAAGGGAAAATCGCCAGGCCCAAGTCCTCAATGCAATCTCCTTCGACTGAAATATTTATCTTGGGAATGGGGTATCCCAAAATAGACTTTCCTTTTGCGCTTGTTTTTTCGTTGTCTTGGGTTAATGAAATGGCTGGCCTACTTTGCCAGCCCGGCCAAGGCGCCCCAACTTGGCACGCAAAAGTCAGGCCCAGTTTCATTTATACAGGGCAAGAAATATGGCTCTTTATTGGGTATATAAACATACACATTTAAGAAGTCAACAATCCTAAAATATTGGGGATATAAATATAGGAAATTCTAAAAATTCCAAAATAGGAAAACGGGAAAGTAAAGAATAAAAAGATAAAGTCCGTAAATAAAATAATAGAATTTTATTTTATTTCAGTAACAATTAACAAGTGATTTACAATTTATGTATTATTTGTGTTTAATATTAGTGCATATATTTTGAAATAGATTCACAGGCATACATATTTTTATCTGTGATTATTGTGTTTTTTCGCCGTGCAATCTCAGCCGTAGTCGCAGTTTCAGTTAGCATTTCCAGTCGGAGGCCAACGGCAACGGGCTGACGACTTGGCAAAATCAAGGTTAAGTATATGTATTTATGCGCATACCCAAGTAGCACCGACTTGGGCACACACACATATCTGTATATATATTTCCCAAGGAGCTGGAGGAAGAAAGGACGAAAGGGAGGCGGAGTTTCTGGGGGAAAGGGGAAACTGCGACAGGAAATGTCAATCAATTAGCCCGGCCCAAGGCGCCAAATGCGTCGGCGGTTGCGTCCCCTTTTTCCCATTTTTGGGTTTCGGGGTATCCTTTTTCTGGGTTGAGGAGGGACTGGTACTCTCCTTGGGTCTTTGACCATCGCTGATTGCAGTCGCCTTCTCGGAACTCGTGACCTTTTCCGCCGCCTTCGAAGGCGGTGGTCAGAAGGACGCGGAGTTGCGACGTCCGCCTGTTTGACTTTAATTTATAAGGCTGCCTTCTGATTGCGCGGCTTGATTTACCTTCTGCAGGAAAAGTCGCTGTCGTCCTGTTACTTTTTGTACCAATATGTATGCTCCAAACAGAGCCAAGTAATTGCTGAAAATTCAATGCAGTTTACCTCCCAATGCCCTAAAAAAAAGAATTGACAGTTCAATTAGGAAAAAACCTCTTGAGGATACCTTTTTCAGTTTTATTTAGTTTCACATTCTTCAACCAAATAATTTGGTTTAATTTAATTATTTTTCTGAGCAAGTACCTAAGCCATTGTGTATTCAAGAATCTAATACTCTGCGGAGTTGAATCGATTAAATCCTTTGACTTCGCATACTTAACTCTTCAATTCTAAATCCTCTTCGCAAATCGTTGCGAAGTGAAGATAAGGATGTTTGTGTAGCTGGATAAACTTAATTAATTTATTCGAAATATTGACAGTTTAATTAACACACTTAATCTTCGTCTGCTTAATTTGAGCACCATTTCCATTAACTGAATTGAATTGGTAAGCTGGAATTAAGTTCTACTGTCAGTCAGGTTTCGCTTTAATTGAAGTGATTCTTTAACCAATTTAAAAACTTGTAAGCCTTCAAGGTTTTTCTTTAATAAAAATTGACCTACTTTACTGTTTGATTTAAACCTTTCATTGCTAAAATTCAGTACATTTTTTTTCAGTTATTTACAGAGATATTATTTAAGGGGAAACCATAAATTGCTTGCAGAAATAAACTTTCAATTTACAATCAATTCGCAATGTTTAACATTTATTTTATTTACGGCCTGCCAAATATGACTACTGTACTGAGTTATTTGCTATTGCATTAATAAATTAGTTTGTATTGTAAAAGAACAAATCAAAATTCAATGAGGTCACTTCTGCAATTTATGACGTCAAAGTTATTTAATAAAACGAAATAAATTCTTCAAGAAAAAAAAACAGGAATAATTTACTTTATTTCAAGATCCTAAGAAAACATTATTTCTGAACCGTTTTTTATTATTATTTTAATTCAGTTGAAAATATATATATCGGTTGATATATCGGACCATTCGAAGATTTCCATTTGCCAAGCCATTCAATAGGGTCCAAGTAGCCCGTCTTTTTGGAAAAGGAGGAGGTTTACCATTGTCCTGCGAGCATCGCATCCTTGGTCTGTTCTTCGTCTGCTTTCTTTTTGTCTGCTGGGGGCTCCTTTAGCCTCCAAAACCCTCCTTTCCCCTTCCCCCTCCCCCTTTTCCACCATTCCTTGGCCAACCCGTCGAGCCTATTGTCCCCATGAGCTTTGTTTTCGGTTTGCTGTTTTTCCCCACCCCCCTTCATCCCCATTTTTTCCCCACCCCCTTTGGGTTTGCGGCTTTGTTTTGGTTTCCCCCCTGCATTTGTGTTTGTGTAATTGTTGCAACAATTGTGCTTTCCGAATGGGATGTACATGTACATACCGCACGGGGGTTTTGTGGGGGGAAATGGAGGTTTGTGCCACACAAAACGTATTATATGATGGGGGATTTCTGTTATTTTTTTTTGCTGTTATTTGTTTTTTTTCTCTGTTTCTGTTTGCGGAGGATAACAATGATTTGTCCACAGAGCGTAAAATTTGTTGTCAAAGCGAGTATTGGAAAAATGTGAAAATGCCTTGGGAATGAAAACTCGGGAGGGAAATGCATGTGCATGTGCAACTGCAATTGCATTTAAACGAAACGTCAGAAACACTCCACACACACATACACTCCTACACTCTCTCACACACACACACACACACACACACGTGCAAGGTAATTAGCCAATGTTCGGGGTATTCTGTTGGGCAATTCAACTGCTTGGAAATTCCCTCTCGCCGCTTTTGGCTTAGACGCTTCAGCTGAAAGTTGATCCCAAGAACGAGTGGAAGCGAATGGCAGCAAAAAGTTTATAAATTTTTGAATAGTCCACAATGGCAAAGTATCCAAAAGGTGAGCCAAAGTGTGTGTGTGTGCGGCATCATGGGGCATACAAAGGGGGGATGAAGCTGCTGGTGGTGGGGCAGCTTCATTTTCTTGATGACACCATCTCATTAATAATGCCGGAGCTCTATTAATATTTGAAAGCCGAACGCAGCACACCGGAAATTAAATCCGAATGAATGGGCGGAGGGATGGTTTTCGAGGGGGTGGGGGGTTTTCTGGGTGGTTTTCTGGGTGTGCATGTAAGTGCTTTCGTATGCAAAGGAGTGCGGGAGCTGGTGGGGATATAAACCAACTTGATCCTCCCCCTTTAAGTTCCAGTGAATCCCTCGCCAGTCATATGCATTTCTCTCAACAACAAATAGTTGGCAAAGAATGTGAAGAAAAAACAAATTATTCCTGTGAAAGAAGAAACAAATTATAAGTTAAATGGAAACCAGCATTTTAGTTTTATTATTGGTTTTTACAGGGTTACCAAAACTACAAAAATATAAATGCAATATTGTAATGTTATTTTAAAAAAATCAAAGAACTTTACTTTAGATTCCCTGACTTACTTACCTTCCGCTGTATATTTATCTCTTTAATGTTTGTAAATGCACTTACCGATTAGAAGCGAACATATCCCGTGCCATTTGATATCGCAGCAGATCTCGGCTGCTTCTTAGCCTTTAACCAGCCCCCTCGACCCCTTGACCCCCTCTCGTGTTAATTTTTATGACGTACTTGAAGTGAGCCATAAAATGAGAGGACGGCTAAAGGGGAAATCTGCCCCGAGGGGCGGAAAAATGGAAAAGGGGAAAAGGGGAAAGGGAATAGCGGAAAGGACGAACTCTTAGAGCTGCAACAAATTAAAATGTATAGTCGCCTCCATACGGTCCTCCTGCTTTTCCGCTTTTCCGTTTAAACCCGAAACCCCTCTCCCCCCCCTCCTTCCCCTCCCTTTTCCCCATGAAAATCCCCCTTTTACGACGCTCCTGCTTGTTGCGCTTTGTGGGGCAAGGTGAGCGTCATCCTGTGGCATCGTTTGTCCTGCTCCTTTCTGTGGCCGGTCACTCGGTCGCCAGCGTCAACGAAAACGTCAGCAGACTGACAAAAAAATAATGTTATTTCGTATAAGAATACCTTTTTTATTTATTAAAAAACAGTAAACTTAAAATGAAAAGTCAATATATTCATCGAAACGTTACAAACAATGAGCTACAGTTTATTTAATAAATTTTAACAAACATATTTATAAATTGTTACATTTTATAATGAGCTGAATCTCTCAATTTGATTTCGAAAAGTATATAAGTTTATTACATTTATTCATGGTTGTATTGTTGTACAAACTTCCCTTTTACAATTCTAGAAGGCATTTCTTTCAGTGCATCAGCCACAGTGGCTGCCACATATACGTCCAAAATAGTTGTAGTTGGTTTTTGCCACTCTCACACACACACACACACACACTCGGCCAGGAAAACTCCTCTCGTTTTTCATGTGCTGCAAGCAAGGTGCACGAGGGGAATGGAGTGGGGGAAAATTGTGGAAAATGGTGGAAAATAGGGGCCATGGCATGTGGCAAGTGTGTCAGCAACGGGGAGTGAAGTGGAGGCGAAGGGGCGAAGAGGAGGGGGAGGGGTAGGGGAGAGGAGTGTAGGGGCATATTAAGGGGGCGTGGCGACATTCCATTTATTATAAATAGGCGAGTGCTGAGAGGCTTGACTTTCCGTTCCTATTTTACCTCCATTTTTTGGCTTGTGACGTCAGCGGGCGATTTGCGATTGGTCCCCAAATTGACAGCATTCAGTACAGTGCGTTTCATAAGTGTGCGTCTGCCGTTGAAGTGCCGTGAAGTGCCATGATTAGATTTTCTGCGATGACGCCTCTTTATCTGCTCTGTGAAATAAATCGATTTTGGAATGAATGCAAGGGGTTATGATAATTTAAAAACATAGAAAATATGAAATCATAAAGGGTTTCTTTTGCTGCTCTGTGAAATAAATCGATTTTGGAATGAATGCAAGGGGTTATGATAATTTAAGAACCTAGAAAATAAATAATCAGAAAGGGTTTCTTTTTTTCTACAAAAAAGAAGTTAAGTTCCCCAGATAAATCATTAAAGAAACTACAACTTTATCCAAGATTTACTTGTTTACGCAAGACTTGCATCACAATCGCTCCTTTTTTTTTTTGCATTGTGCAACCATCAAGCTCGCTTCATTAGCTTTCCGAAAGAAGATGTCTTAACTTTGGATCAGCCATGAGTTTGCGTCCATTATCCCTGTGGCAAACACGCAGCATCAAGTTGCAGTTAATTATATGCATTTTGAGCGAGCAGATAGGAACAATGTGAAGAAGAGGAGAACGGGGAAAGGACAAAGGATAAAGGAGACAGGATAAGCCAGCCAATGAAGGGTGCAAAAAGGGGGGTGGTATTGTTGATAAACTTTATCCACTCATTTTACCCCCATCTCCTATGGTATATATCCATCGGACCCATTTTGCTGACCCTCCTCGCTTCAACTGGGCCACTGGGCCACTAACTTCTTCTCCTGCTCCTTCTCCCGATTTTCCCTCCTGATTTTCCCTGGGCCACACGCATTAAAGCCAGAAAATTCATAAATGCCTGAGAGCGCTACTCGCTTACGCTGAAGTGTTCGTTGGCCCTCTAATAAGCACTTACGGCAGCAGCAGCAACATCGCCAACATCCGTAGTCCCTAGTCCTTAGTCCTTACACCAACACCAACAAAAACAACTATCAACAACAACTAAAGTAAGAACAACGACTATAGCAACAACAGGAAGACAAAGAAGCTGTCGTTTGGCGTTGCTTGAATTTTAATGAAATTAAAGATTACTGAGCTCAGCCAACAGGGCAGAAAACACACACACACAGAAAACACACACAGAAAACACAGCTCACAGCTCAGAAAACAGAGGCTTAGTGTTGAAGGGGGGTCTCGTCTCTCTCACTTAGAAAATCCAAACGAAAGTCCATTTCCTCTGCGCAACAGTTGGTGTTTTTCAGTAAATAACATTTGTGCGGGGGCTCCACTCCCTCATTGCTAAATGAAAACTCAACTGGGGGAGAAATTAAATATGAAATGCCTTCACAGCACAGAAAAAAAGGAAAAGGAAACATAATAATTGCACTGCCGTCCAATTGGTTAGGGCAGTTTCACGCAGTTTAAAGGTAATTTCAGAAGGGGAATTACCGTCAATTGCAAAAACCTGCATTCCAAATGGAATTGGGTTGGTTTCAGGACTTTAGGAAGTTTTCACTAGTTGTGAAAATGGTGAAATGGTTAATCAGTGAATTAATAAAAAAAAATGGTAATTAATGCTAGTGTAATTAGTAAATTAAATCATTTTAATTCCTTGAATTTAAAAAGTGGCATTTCCCTTTCAAGTTGTTGCATTTAAAACTATTTTATAGTAATTATAATGTATGTATTTTACTCATATTAAATTGATAGTAAAACTATATTTCATTTGTTAGTGACCTTTCCCCTTCTAGTTTAGCATTTAAACCATGAAAGCCGTCATAACTTAGTTGCAATGCAATATGCCTGCCTGCCATCTTAAATTCAGCTGAATGGCTGCATTAATTGTGCTGCTCATTTACCCTGTAAACTCGACCTTTGAGAGCACACAGTACATCTAACTGCACCGGCTTACTGCTGGTTCTAGTGATTTCAGCCTCGTATCTCGACTCCAGCTATTCATAATCCTCATGTTTCGGTTTCCGCTGCCAATTTAACTCGGCTCTCCAATCCGGTGCTAATGAGGCAGCTCCTTCTTGGGTTCCTCAGAACTCCGAGCTCCTTGGGAACTTGGGAGCTTGGAAAGCTGGCAGAACCTTCACTTTGTAATTAGTGCGTGTTGGACAAGTGAATCAACTTTGCCGGCAACTTTCGTTCGGCTGTCTGTCTTCTTTAATTAGCCAATTTGTTGCTGCACTTCGCCGACACTCCTCGGTTAATTCGTTGGATTTTATTGCGTCCCTGTTTGCCAGAGCCCTGATAATTGGCTAATCGAGTTGTGCAATTGAGGCGGCTAATTGATGGCAGGTCGACTGCTCATTAGGGTGCACTTAATGGGGATTTCGGTTTCACATTTTGTCTTGTGCCTCAAAAGAGTTATGTGCGAGTCATGCCACTTATCGCTGCAACGATATTTGCACTGCCATTGTCCCTATATATCACCGAGAGATAAGCTCAGTAGTGTTTCGAATTAAGCCTCGTCGTCTGCGGGTTACAAACCTCACACACACATTACGCATACGCCCGGTTGTCTGCTTCGAAAATCATAATTAATTGCGAAGCTTGCGCAAATTTTGCACAACTTCTGCACAAGTGCACAAATCAATGCAATCGAAGGGGGGGAAAGGGATCCATTTTCTAGGTAGTTGCACGTTGCGTATACTTAATGTTACCAAATTTAAATTGCATAAACTGCATTATTGATGCGACTTAACAGCAAATTTACATGTGAGCCGCCACAAACAAGAAAAAGGCCTTGAAAGCACATTGTTCAATTTAATTGATTTCACTAAAAGGCCTGCATGCCTCAATTAATTCCCTCAATTAATTTGTCATCGAGCAATTTTTCGGGGCTAATTACCAAAAGCGAATTATTCCAGATTGGTTCTTCTTTTATCTACATTTCTGTGTAATTGGGTCTTAATGTTTTTACACCGTTTTGATTGGTTTGCATTTTGTGAAATACTGCGTTTTAATTTGTGGTCTTAGCTTCGATATGCGAAATTGCCAGATAAATAAATCCAATTTATTGTGGCACATTCTCAGTTACGAAATGCCATGTCAAATAGCTGACGATTGAAATGACTGAAACCCCACTTGAATTTCAATGTTTAGCTTGGAGCGAGAAAACATTGGTTTTTCACTTGCTCTGTAATTTAATTTCCAGCCAATGAGTTTGGTGAAAGGCAAGTTATTTGTGTTTACAAGTTGGGAAGTTAGATTAAGTTTACTTAATTTAATACGATTTTTGGTAGCCTAATGGGATTTAATTTCTAATCTATTTATTTGAATGAAATGGGAAGTTTATTTTTTGGTAAATTAATTATATAAAGTTTGTATTCCTTACCAATCGATTCTTTATCTTTTGTATCTTTTCAGTGCCATATGCAACCGATAAGACTGTGTGAATGGTCAAGTGGTCATCAGCATCGAAACCTTTCTCTCTCCTTGAATGTGTGTGTGCGTGTGTGTGTGTGTGTCTGTGTGTATGTGTGAGTGAGTGAGTGTGGAAGAAAGGTAGTGGAAGCGGAAGAGAGAGCGAGCGAGAGCGAGAGCGAGAGAGAGAAAGAGACAGGATCAAAATGACGGACGCTCGGGGCAGCGGAACTTCCGCTGCGGAATTCGAATGAGCGAGATCCAAGACCACAAAAGATCGGTTTTGGACCGAACGGATCGAACCGGATCGATCCCCCTTATAAATTGAACATACTATATATCCTGCGGCATCAGGAGACGGAAATCGGGAGCCAGGAAGCGGAAGGACCTCCTCCTTCGGCGGTCATCTATCCATCAGCTGACAACTGTCGGCCGTCAGAAACTGTCAGTTGTCAGTGGAACTCGGCCCTCATTCGACCAGGCGACCATTGGAGGCCAACTGTCAGCGGTCAGCGGAAGTGGAAGCCAGCAAAACGGGAGAGCACCAGGAGCAGTACCAGGAGCAGACGGAGAAGGAGACGGAGCAGACGGAGGAGCAGAAGAAGGAGGAGCAGGAGAGGATTGGGCAGCGCGGCGCGTAGCGTGTAGGCGGCAAAATGCCTGGCGGACGACGTGGACTGGTTGCGCCGCAGAACACATTCCTCGAGAACATCATCCGGCGCTCCAACTCGCAGCGTGAGTACCTCAAATATTTCTACCATAAAAACAATATGGGGAAACCGAACTCTTTGGGGAGAAAGAGAAGTTAAGGAAAAGATTTCCAGGATGTATTGTCGAAAGTTACGGAAGAAATTATGGTTCTTTTTAGTAGATGAGGATTTACATTGGTAATTAATGCATACACATTTTGGTTACATTTGAAATATTATCTCAATATGGTTACCCTTCACCAAAGAACCAATTTAAAAATGCAGATACCAACTGTTTGCTGTAGCCATAAGGCATCTGCTTGTTTACCCCACATGGCGTTGTGTTAAAAACAGGTGTATATGCGAAAAAAGGATTAACTGAAGCATCGCACATTGGCGCGGCCCCTCGACAGAAGTCGCCACATTTCGATGCATACTCGATTATCCGGTTGCATTCGGCATTTCGCGCATGCCGCACAATTATTGGTTGACGAAGGGGCAGCCTCCATTTGGCGTCTGCGAAAAATGCGAGAGTGTGAAATGAATTTTCCGTTAAGTTGTCAACGTGAACAGGATGCAGCTGTATGTGTGCTGTGTGTGTGTGTGTGCGTGAGGGAAAAGGACTAAGGGAAATGAGCTATAAATAGAGCACTCGTACTCGCACTCACACACTTTTATTTACCACCCACACACACACATAAATCGGAGAGCAATGGCTCACACGCACGTGTGACCGAGAAATGTCCGATTCAGTGAAATTGAATTGTTTCACTGTGGCAACTGGCAAGTGGAAAGTGGAAAGTGCGGGGAAATGGAAAGAGAAAGGGGTGTGGGTGGGGGAAAGTCCGGAAGGTGCTTGGCAATTTGAGGGCCGGCATTGAAATCCCTTTTTGGCCTGCGGTCAATGGCAACACTTTCAATTAGGGCGGGCCAATCGAGGGGCTGAGCGGAGAGTGGTGGAAAATGGTAAAGTGTGCGGGGACTTCAATTGCAGAACTACTGGTAAACTTAAATCGGATTCCCGACTGGTGAACCACACACGCTCTCAGCTGCAGTCGAAATGGGGAAATGGCTCCTCCTGTCCTGGCCGCAGCTTTAGCTTCAGCTTTTAGCATCCCGAAACCCAAGCCCAAACCCAAATCCAAATGGCCTTTGACCGAAACAGTTGTCGCAGCAACTTGAGTTGCCATTTGCCGTTTGCCATTTGCCATTTGGCATGTAGCACACAGCCATCAACGACAACACATGCGGCCATAAACAACCAACACAAGCCAAACAACACAGCAACTGTGGGATAATTAACAAAATTCCCCCATTCTCCGGGAAAGCTCATTAGGGAATGGATCCGGGGGAAATCGGACAGCAGGAGCGACATAAACAGACGCACAATTGATGCACTTCGCTGCCAGCCAACTGCATTCTCTCCCATCTGTCCGTCCGTTTGTCTGTCTGTTTGTCCGTCTGTCCGGCAATGCAAATGGCCGAAAAGTATTCCGGACAGCTGCGGTTAATCATCGCCAGAGGAAGTCGGCAAAGTGGCTACTCTGATGGACTGAAAAGGAGAAGCGGCGGATGGAAGTCCTCTGGCAGGGAAATGGCAATATGAGACAATCTCTCATAAAGATCGAATAAATAAGAAATCAGCCATCGATTTGTACACGCAGTTCAATATGACTTTAGGGTAAAAATTTGCCACCAATATGTTTAATTAAATTTTAAACAAAAAAATCATTTGACTTGCCTATTATGGCCAATTTAAGCAATTTTGATGCAACCATCAAGTATTTTCAGCTAAAATTTTATATAAACAGGTGAACAAAACTTTTAATTGGTGCTTAAATTGCATTAACTCTTTTTGCCAACCAGAAACAAAATGTATTTGTTTCATTAGATGTAAAAGTACAAAATTAGGAAAAGGGTAATATAATTTTGTGAATACCCAAATTTGTAATTGGAGCTCAAGCTCCTGTGAAAATTTCACATATTTGAATGGTTTATTTCTGGTAAATGCAGTTGAAAGAGGAAAATATCTTTCCGGAAAACGGGCAAAATGCCGTACAGACTAACTTTGCAAGCAACTAGTTAGTAACAAAATAGCCACATTTTTAAGCTCCACTATCGACCCAATTAGGAAAAATGAGCTTAAATATTATTGGGGCTTCGTTCGATTTCAATTTGACAGGGAGCGAGGGATCCCACTTCCCACTTCATCTCCAATTGCAATCCCCGCAAAGGAGCCATCAATAGATTTAGTTAGGCCTAAGGGAGACTTGACAGTTCGCTTCGTTTCCATTCGATTCGATTCGATTCACTTTTTCCCCCAGCATAGTTTTCCATAGACATTTTCCCGAACGGCGACTGAGGCAACTGTCGAAAGCGGATTACCCGAAGAAGACGCAAAGCCTTTTCCAAAAGGATTTCGTTGGCATCACAAGTGAGGAGAAAAGTAAAACAGCTTTTAGGTCGCTCAAGGAGAGCACAATTCTGACCTGAAACGGACAGATATACAGGTAGAGGTACAGATACACAGATACAGATACAGATACAGATACATTCAGGACGTTAACTGAAAATGCCATAAAGGAAATGCACACAGTTAAGGGGGTTAAAAGGGGGGTAGAAAAGGGGGGTGGGGGCGCCATATTAAGGCGGGAATGCAAATGGCTGAGGGAAATGGGTCGTCAGGTGAAGCAATAGATTCTAATGTGATTTTCATGCCAAACAGAAATAAAAACGGGCGCAGATTCAAGTGGAAGTTGGGGGAGGAAGAAGTGGGGGGGGAAGCGATTGGAAGGTGCAGATTTAGACCAAGAAAATCGAGTTTGGGCCGAGAAAATGCGTGGCTTTATTTGAATGTCTGCACGATACGTCTGTCTACAACACTTAGCCTCCTTTTTTGGCCCTTGACTCTGTCCCAATTCCATTTCCCCCATCGATTTGGAATTGAATATATTGCCAATGGGTTATAAATTATGAGCTTTTCTAGAAAAGGCAGCCAACCTTTTCACTTTTAGGTTGAATCTTTGATAGGAAAAGTAAATCCTTTTTGATTTCAATTAAAGCAAACAAAATAAGAAACATAAATTGAATTTCTTTTTATAATTTCTTTTAATAGGAATAAAAATATTATATAAAATTCTTTAAAATTCATTCAGTCTAAAAAAGCTTAAGTATGGAAAAACCGAATTAATATAAGCCTCGTTAGAATATCTCACAACAAGCAAAAACCCCGGATTTCCCCTGCCCCAAAAAGTTATCCATCAACCCAAGGAAATGGGTTGGAAAATTTAAGGAGGATAAATGGTGGAAAAGGGAACGAGGGTCCAACATTCCGTGGTGTTTGTTTTGGGCTGCGAATTTTCGGCCACGTTAGCGATAAACTGGCCAAGAGGCCAAGAGTCACTGCCAAAAAAGAGCAACTGGCTTAGGCAGATTTTTTAATTAGTTGACTTTATGCCTCACGCTTCCGGAAAATTCCCTTCCATCCGGCATTCCCCCTCGGCGGCCAACTTCGATTTGTCCACAAGTTGCAAATAGGCAAAAATTCGTGTGTTTGTTCTCGTTTGGCAACAAACTCATTAAAATTGAACGCAAAGTCCGCCAGCAAAAAGAAAAGCCTACTCACACACACACACACACACAAACTCACACGTACATAGGTTTTGGTGAGAGGGGAAAACCCAAAATCCACAGAAATCCCGACTAGTCCGATGGCAAGCATTTTTCAGTGGTTTATCTGCGGGGCGGAAAAGCGAACCCGAGGAGGTGTGTACAAAAAAAACACAGAGACAAACAACTTTGCCCTTGTTTTTCTTTTTTTTTATACCCCTCCTTTTCTCACTTTTTTTGGTGCTTTTTTTTTTGCTACGGCCTATGTTTGCCTTTTTTGGGTTTGTCACTTTTGCGGTTTGCCTCGCACGTTTATCTCGAGTGCACATTGCTCTTGTTCTTCCCCCCTCTTTTCCCCCCTTGAATGTCCCCCCACTGAATATCCCCCCTCTGAATACTGCCCCTTCCACTTGCCAAGGCCTTTGCCCCTCAGGAGGTCGCAGCTCGACACTTGGCGCGGCTGTTTGATCTTCGTCAGCAAGCCAAACAACATTAGCAACAACAACAACAACAGCAGCAGCAGCAGTAGAAGCAGTGGAAGCAGAAGCAGTGGAAAAAGTGGAAGAAGTGGAAGCAAGGCAAAAAGTGGCCAACAAACAGGAGGTGGAGGTGGCCAACGAACCACGCTCTTTGAAGTTGGCCCACTTCTCCATTTACTTCAACTGCACCTCAGGAAATATCTGAGAATTAAATTGAGAATTCAGTGATGAATTCTTTTTAAAATATGTAATGTATTTATTAATCATCAACTGCATTTCAAGTGATTCCTTTATTCCTTTTTAACCCATTACCCATTACCTATTTCATTTTATTTTCATTTAATTTAACCCCAAAATTAACCGCCCTACTTTTGTTCACTGTGCATCCACTCTCGTGAGTGTTTTGCCTGCCTGTTGACAATTGATTACGCATACGCCTCGTGTACCACAAAAGAAAACACGTGCCAGGCGATATCCATCACAGCCTGGCAATCCGGCAATCTGGCAATCCAGCAATGGTTGTGTTTGCCCAGGTCAGAGCCTTTGGGTCTCCAATGGATAAATGATAACCCAATAAGCGATGAATCAGCAGACTGGGGAAAAAAATAAGAGAAAAATACGAAGCGAAGCTAATGGAACATAAATTGCTTGAATTGGATAGAAAATTGAAACCTTAAAGGGTTTTAAATAAAGCTGTGCGAGTTTTTATCACTTTCAATTAAATTTATTGACCAGAAACAGCTTCACTTTTTTCAAATTTCTATCGCGTTTAATTAGCAATGTGACCGCGACAAAAATATCGACAAAAAATTCCCTGACAGGAGTGAAAAAAAACTGAAAGAGTAACAGCTTAATAAAGTCCGGTTGGAAATTGTGATAAGCTCGTTTTGTGTGAAGGCTCCAGAGCAGTGACGCAAAAGGATGCCCGGGGCAACTGTCATACCAAATCAGCATAATC